CAGCGAGCCTGACCAGCCTGCACCCGCACGAGGAAGAGAAAACATGGAGGGCCAAGATGAGAGGTCCACCAATGAGCGCATCCTCGCGCAGCTCACCAGGCAGAACTGGATTATGGATGACGGGTTCTCGTCCCTGATTCTGCAACAAACTCATTGGACCGGAGAGTGGCTGCAATCGAGGTCATGTTGGGCACGCGCGGGGCCTCAAGCTCGAGAGTAGGAAACCAAGGTGGACCCAAACTTCCCAAACACTACTTGCCACCAACCTAACCAAACTCCACTCTACCCCCAGCAAACGACACGTGGAGCCGCATTTCCTAAACCAGGAGACCGAATGCGTGACGTCCAGGGGTGATAGAATGGATCCATGCACAGGCTTCGGGGACGAAGTCTCTTGTAAGGGGGGAGGGTGTAACACCTCGTGTTACGGCCTCTAACCCGGACTAATTGTCTAATTGTTTACCAAAAATGATAATTAGAAAAGGGACCTGATTGGGGTAGGATCCCCTTAATTAATTAAATAGGGTCCACCATGGATCATGGACCCTTATCCTTAAACCAAACCCTTAGTCCTATAAGGAATAGAATAAGTAAATCTTTACCATTCCGACCTTAGTTAGGACTCCTACATATATATAAGGACTTAGGAGGCACCTAGAAATCCCACCACGATTGATTCCACCACACAAGATTCCCCAGGAATTCCCCTGTCACCAAACGTAGGAGAAACCACGAGGAGGAGATCTTAGAGAAAGAACCTTAGTAGCAAGGGATTCTAATTAAGGCTAAGAGGTAACCCATGTCTCAACAAAACCTATTTTCCTTGTTATTTCTTCTTCATTGGCGTTCTTGATATATGATTATGTGTTCGACTCTTGATAAAGCTTTTCCTAAGATTTATATGGTGTTCGTGAGATAATCTTGATGATTATGTGTTGATCTTGATGCTTATATGATAATCTTGATGTTCTTGATACCATGATAAGTTATATGAATGATCTTGTATTTTGATTATGACTAGAGCCCTAGGGTAATAAACGTGGATTTCGTATTATGTGGTTTTGGTATGTTTGGGTGGGATTTTGCATGTTCGGGTGTTGAGTCTTGGCATGTTTAGGAGTCGTGTTAGGATGTATTTGGTGTGGTTCTTGGTTTAAATCCGTTACTTGAATATGTGGTGTCGTCGTTTGTACTTAAATGTGTTTGGACATGGTTTCGGGTTCCACGATGGATCCCGGGACCAAAATATTACATAGGAGTCAGTGAGGCGTAGGTGGGGGCAGGGGTGCCCGCCACCTACCTGCTGCCCCGTGTTCTCTTCCCAGCGGGCAACCGGCGGGCAGGGGTGCCCGCCACCTACCAGCTGCCCCGTGTTCTCTTCCCAGCGGGCAGCGACTGCCCGCCGGGCACCCGCTGGTTTACAGCCCGCCGCCGGCAGGTAGCCGGCGGGTGGAGAGGTCCACCCTCCGGGCACCCGCTGGGATTTGATAATAGAATTACCTTTATTTCATAAGCGTTAAAAGTTTTAAAATTTAGGGGTGTTACAGTTGGTATCAGAGCCTAAGTTTGACCCTAGGATAAGACTTTTAAGACAAGACTTTAGGACATTAAGCTTGAACTCTAGGTATTTAGGTACTTAGGATTCAGGAAACTTAGGACACGCGGTGAGGCTGTGGGTTTACCTATCATTACATGCCTAACTTCCCCTCACTCTATTCTGTGCTTAATTTAAAAATCCCCTACACTTATCGCATCGAGGTAAGGATGCAACCCACTAACTTACCATTACGATAAATATTGGCCCTGTAGACCATCAGAATGGCGTCAACAAGAAGTCAGTCAAGGATCCCTGAACCCTCCGCTCACGAATCTCTAGCCCAGAACCTACAACAACTAACTCGGGTCGCCCAAACACTAAACGATGCCGTCCTCCACAACAATCACCGACCACCACCACCGCCAAACGGAAACTCAGATGTCACTTGCCAAGGCTCGAACCATCGCCCACCCACCTTCTCAGGAAAAGAAGATCCCACGATCCTCGAAGAATGGATCGGAACCTTCGACAAAATCCTCGGAATAGTAGAATGCCCCGAGGGACGCCGTGTAGAAATAGCCTCATTCTACTTCGGACACGAGGTCGATCTTTGGTGGATCCACAAAGGGCCTACTTATAGGCAAGAACCAGGGTTCAACTGGGAGTTCCTAAAAGTACGGCGACGGGAACGGTTCTACCCCGCACACATAAGGGCAACCCTGTACGAAGAATTTCTCCACCTGAAACAAGGAATGACCACCGCCATGGAATATCACAAACGATTCCTCGAGCTGACTCGTTTCGCGCCCGAATTAGTTCCTACGGAAATGACCAAGATAGAGAAATTTGTGACGGGCCTCACCTTCGAAGCCTGAAAGGCCCTAATCGTAAGCAAACCTCGAACCCTTAACGAAGCCTACACCAGCGTCACCGACCTCTATCGAGTCCAACTTCTACAACGGGGAGTTCAGGAACAGATCCGTAAGAGAAACGCGGGAAGTGGGGCACCACCTATAAAAAGGGCTAGAAACAACTCTAACACAAGGACGGTTAACCCGACTAGCCAAGGACCGTCCATGAGAAACAACGAAGCCAATGCAATACCGTTCCTTTGCCAAAGATGCAACAAGGACCATAGGGGCAAGGATAGCCTAGGGAACCCCTTGCGGTGCTTCAACTGCGGGGGAGAAGGACACAAGTCCTTCCAGTGCACTCGACCCCCGAGCACAAACCATACAGTCATGGGCCAACAAGGAGGGGCAAATAACCGAGGGAGTTACGGTGCTCCCAGAAAGGTATTCGTCATTAGCCGCACCCAGACCGACCTTGAAACAGAAGCCAATATCGACGCAGAAAACGTGGCCCTAGGGGACGAGGATCCCGCAAATCAATTAGAGGAAAATCAGGAGGAAGAATTCTGCTTGGGATAATCTGTGAACCCCTGTAAACTACCCTCTTAGTAGAACCACCTGTTTAGTTCGATTATTTAGAAATTTTTATAACCTTAAATAAAAGACGAAGTCAGTTAATTCGAACAGCTTAATATATATATACATATATATATATATATATATATATATATATATATATATATATATATATATATATATATATATATATATATATATATATCACTACAAAAAAACGCGAAAATAACGACGGATATAGCGACGGACGCATTCCGTTGCTAATTTAACGACGGAACAGTGACAAATTAGTGACAGATTTTATTTGTTTTGTTAAATGGATATCTAGCTACGGAGTAGCGACGGATTTGCGACGAAACTTGCGACGGAATATTTCCGTCCTTAAATACGTAACTAAATTTAGCGGTAAATATTGGCGCAAAAATTAGAGACAGATTTGCAACGGATTTGCAACGGATTTTTCATGGGCTAATTTCATAATTTTAATTACTACAAATTAGCGACGGATTTATGAATCGTCGCTACATTTTCATGCGATATTTGTTTGTGTTTACATTTTAGCGACGGATTTAAGGATCTGTCGCTAGATCAATGACGGATATATTAATCCGTCTCTATGTTTATATAACATGATTTTTTTTCTAAAAACACTCTAGCGACGGATTCCCAAGTCTGTCGCTAAATTAAATTTATAAAGTTAGTTTGTTAAAACAGTCTAGCGACGGAATTTCAAATCCGTCGCTATATAACTACAGATTTGAAATCTGTCGCCATTTACAAGCGGGATTTCTAAATAAAAAGGCGGAAGTTTTAAATCTAGCTACGAATTTTATTATCCGTCGTTAAAGTTGACACATTAAGTCCTCAAGAAAAATAAACACGCTGCCCCTAACCCTAAACAAAGTAAATCCTAAAATTGTCCTCTCCACTGCTATTTTTCTCTGACTGCCGATCTGCCATCGCTTCTATTTTTCGCCGACTGCCATCGCTGCTATTTTCCTCCAACCGCCACCGCCGACAGCCGCTTCCCCTGATGCATCTAGTATGTATTTGTTTAAGTGGTAGAGTCCCCGCCCTTTTTCCTGCGTTTCTTTTGCTTATTTGAGTTAGTTGTAAACTGACTGATAAATTAGCCAGTAGCATAAATCCCAATAATCAAACCAGCAGTTGACATTCCCTTCAAAATAATTATTGTTCTGTCATAATCACACAAGTATGTTGAAAATTGACAAGCAAAACTTACGGAAAAGAATTACACTAAGGTTCAAATAGGTTTATTCAATTGTCTTCTATGGTTAAGGGCTAGTTCTTCAAAATACATTGTGATAGCATTAGAAACACTTGTTGCTATTCAACATTTCTTAGCAAAATAAAAGACAAGTTTCAGAAATTTTGTTATAGTGCTCTCTTTTCCAACTTGCAAGGTAACAAATGCCTATATTAATAACTAATTTATAGACCAAATGTATAATCATAAACAAATACACTAACCAAAAGAACAGCAAAAGTTTAGAGGTAAAAAAAAAGTGAATTTCAGTGAACTGAACATACAAGGTCATTACTGACAGACTGTTGGAGTTTTAAGAAAAATACAATAATATGAAAAAATTACAATATATATTCTCATTACCTTGCTTTCAGCAGACATAGTTTCCAATATATATTTCAATATCCTATGTCATTATCTTGCTTGTTGCGTAAATAGGGAAGACCACATACTATTTGCAAACTCCAGAAATTATACCAGTAACATCTTCAAATATGTAAATCAATGACAGCCTCAGATGTGTTTTACCTCCCAAATGTCATCTCTCAGAGACATATTTATGAGTGATTATAGATGAAAGTTAAAAAAGATTCGAAACTTTACGTATTCTATAATATGATGTTATTACTTTTTTATGATTGATTAACAATATGATGTAGATTCAATTTATTTGCCGGCTAAACCGCCTATGGGTACCGGCACTTGTGTTTTCTCCGGCTAAACCGCCTACGGGTAAGGAAGGCTTATGAGAATATGTATGATTGTTTATTTGTTTCGTGGTTGCAGGCTCCACCTGTTATTGTTTTCTCATCGGCATGTGCAGGATTGGCAGGTAATAAGTTGCTTTTTCCATAATTGCAAGTGTTAGTAGTTGGCTTGTTTACATTTCCTAAACATCTTAGTTCTTACATTGAGTTTACTTTTTTCCTATTTAATCAAATCCCTCAGTCACATGGATTTATTGGGTGGGGATGGGTACTAAAAGTAAATAAATAAAATGAGAGGTTTATGTTAAAAAGAACATTTTCATTGACACTAGATTCAAAGTTAAAGCCTCCTTTGGACTCTGACATGCATGGACTCCTCTTTATATTTTTTCCTCAAGCACTGCAGAACTTAAGTAACCTTCCTCCAGGATTTCTGAGATTCCAAAGAAATCTACTTCATTTTGAGGACCACAAAATGGTTGCATTTGCTTGTATCATACTATCATCAATACCTTTCTACTGTCCACTTCAATGTTCCCTATCTGACTTGATGTACATTGGTGATAAACTTGCCTATAGGGGGTGCTGTTCCAGCACTTGCACAACTTGCATCATCTTCATACCATGCCGCCATCTCATCTTCCACATTACAGCCTCCATCCTCGCAGGACAAGAAGATTAACAAGTCCCGACCATCCTCCACTCTAAAACATTGACAGTGAGTGATAGATAAGAAGCAAAGGACTTTTTGGCGCATCAGTCTCCTGACAATCTTGCCCACAATCAATGCAGCTATAGGGTTTCCATTGCATGATGCATCAGATGTCTTCTGCTCCATTTTGGTGGTGGACTGAGCTCACATGACACTTTATATTGGTATCTAATTTCGTTTTAGGTATTATTCTTTTGGTGTTTCCCAATGATTAAAAGAATGCATAGTGATGCTTTTATAGGACCTGCAAGGTATGTGTATATGTAAATTGCAACCACAGGTTTTAAGCTATAGTTGTGATTTAATAGTCATGTGATTTTTTGGGTGGTGTTTAGAGTGCATTTGGTACTGTTTCTAACAATGTAACATTACATAGTGCTATATTTTCGTTATTGTTATTGAGTTTGAATGTTTTAAAATAAATATATTTTACAATCATATTATTGAAGTACTATATTATAGGTTTAATGCAGGTATGAAATATTAATTAATGGGTGATTTCTTTTTTAATTTTTATGATTTAGCGACGGACAAATATTGTAGTAAATTCGTAGCTAAGTACCTAATAATAATAAAGAATGACAACAAAATAGTGACGGAAAAATTCGTTTCTAAATTTAGCGACGGATATTTCCATCACTAAAAGCTATAGCTAAATTGCATCCAATGAAAATAATAGAAACAAATTAGCGACGTTATTTTCCGTCGCTACATGCGACAAAAGTTCCCGACGTTATATTTAGTGACGGAAAAATTCGTCGTTATTCCATCGCAAATTTTGTCATCAAATCGTCGCCGAGAGGAAATTACCGACGGATTATATTCGTTTAGCGACGGAAATTTCCGTTGCTAGAGATAGTGACGGAATAAAATTGCGTCGCTATGCTCTAGCGACGCGTGTTTTTGTGACGGATGAATTCCGTCGCTAATCCGTCAGTAAATACTGTTAGCGACGGATTTTCCCTATTTAGCGACGGAATCAATCCGTCGCTATTTCTGCATTTTTTTGTAGTGATATATATATATATATATATATATATATATATATATATATATATATATATATATATATATATATATATACACTTAATGTGCGTGAGTCGCGTGCTTAATGTGCATGAGATTTGTACTTAATGTGCGTGAGTGTGTAATGTTAATGTGCGTAAGTTTTGTACTTAATGTGTCTGAGTATTATGCTTAATGTGCGTGAAGTTTGTGCTTAATGTGCGTGACTTGAGTTCAGAATTACGAGCTCAGAAGGAAGCAGAACAGAAAGAGAAGGTGGGTGAAGCTTTTCTGATTGTGTGTGAATGGATGGATATATGTAAACGCATATATGGTTGTTCTTTATGTTAAAAACAAGACAAAATCCATTCGTCCACCACTTCGAAACAAAAAACAAGAAGAAAATGCAGCAGTGGATGCGCATAATTTTCACAGCAGTGAATGAAGAACACACTCACGCACATTAAGCACACAACTCACGCATCTTAGGCACAAGACTCACACACCTTAAGTACAAAATTCATGCACATTAACATTACACACCCACTCACATTAAATACAAATCTCAGGCACATTAAGCACAATACTCACGCACATTGAGTACAAACCTCACGCACATTAATCAACCGCACAACCGCACGGGAACCTTATATATATATATATATATATATATATATATATATATATATATATATATATATATATATATATATATATATAATTTTTAAATATGAGACCTCCAAAAATTGGGGGTCATGTGCAAAGACCCTATATGAGTTAGTATATAAGTATGACAAAATAAAATTAAGGTAAAATGACTAAATACATTTTTTTTGGTGTAAAGTTTTTTTTTTATCATTTGTAAGAATTGAACTCGGATTATCCCAAAATTCTCTCCCATAAAGAAAATTCATTCGTTGTCATCTCATGTCTGTTGTTCGTGAGATTTTCCTTCGCTACGCCGCTAGATTAGGGTAATACGGTTCATCCATTCGATTGTTCAAACATAGCTGAATAACGTGCGCGCTGATTATATCAATATTACACTATATATATATATATATATATATATATATATATATATATATATATATATATATATATATATATATATATATATATATATATATATTTTGGATCAGGTGAGGTACCTATTTAAAATGAGGTCTAATGAGGATCGATCTGGTGCATTGGTTGGTGATTTTGTGTGGCTGTGATTGGGGGCAATTTTAAGCTTATAATAAGATGGTTCTTTACTTTTGGGGGTCTTTATGTAATTAGCTATGAGTCTTTATTGTGTTGCCTTTTTTATATTAATTTGTCGATTCGTTATTGTGTTGTTTTCCTTACCCGTTTCTTTTATTTTTTGTCTCTCCGGGTTCCTCGCGTGCGTTATTTTTATAACTATCCGCACGATTTTCTTCTTCTTGTCAGCGCCGGCGACCGTCTTCTTGCCAGCAGCGTACATTCTTCCCCTCGTTCGTCTGCGCTCTTCAACTAATCCATGGACGGCTCATCATCTAGGCGTTCATTGAGACGACATGGAACTTCGATTAGGGTTGTTCAAGGTACGCTTTAGTTTTGATTAACTGGGTGGACTTAGATGGGTGGTTCTATAATTCGATTTTTGTGCTTTAAATCCCCTGCATGTACCATTTTTTTGCTTAGGTTGTTGGGGCTGTTGGGGTGGAATGAATGTGGTGGGCATTTGTGAGGGGTGGGGGCATTGGCGGTTGTGTTTTGTTGAGGGGGGTAGAGGGATTGGGTCGGCAGTGGGGTTGCAGGCGGCGGTGGGGGGGGGGGGGGGGGGGTTGTTCATGGGGGTGGAATTCGATTAGGATTTTGGTTTTTTTTTTTTTTTTTTTTTTTTCGGCAGAATGCTGTTGGGAGGTTTTTTTTTTTTTTTTTTTTTTTTTTTATGGAGAATTCATGGTGAGGCTTTGGTTCTTTTTTCCTTTTTTTTTTCGGGGGAATTCAGCATGACGTTTAGGATTGCAGGATGTTTTTTTTTTTTTTGTTTTTTTTTTTTTTTTTTGTGTTTCCGACAGAATGTATATAATTTTTGTTTACAAAGGCCAGTGAGTTTATCCAGTGATGATTATGATTTATTTTTTTTTATATGTTTTTAAACTATTACATAAGAACGAATTTAATTTACATATACATCAGGGATAGTATACTACTCATCTTGAGAACATCACTATGATTTCGTCATGCAAGGATGATAGCATTGCGCCATTGCATCAGCATTCATACTCAACTTTTATGCATAAGCTTCCTTCTATATTCGATCAAGTCTAAGTTCTCCTATCATTTTTTCTATGAAAGAATTTCATTTCATTTTCAACTCATTTATTGTGGAATTCATATAATTCTTGATTTTAATTTCATTATATTTAGTCTATTTGACAAATTTAATTATAGAAACCATGGTTCTGTTGCTGTTTTGCGCTGTTGTTTGTTCGTTAGTGTTACATTTTTGATGGTTTGTGCGTTTTATGTTATTCAGTGTTCTAACATTATATTAATAATGACTAGTTATAAAAAAAATTCAGCCTCTTTTGGTCTTCAAATTGTCCTTTTATAATGTTTGTGTTAAATATATTTATTTAGTTGTGCATGTCTTTGGTGGGGCTTGTGAGTTTTGCATACTATGGTCGTTTCTATGTTATTTGTGGTGTTAATAGGTTCAAATTTTGTTCATTCTGGTTGTACAAATTAAATATGTTAGTTGTATGTAATTTGGAATTTTTATTTTTGGTTTTTTATGATTTGTTTTTCATAATCTCTAGTTATTTAGAAAATCTGACATTGTTGGTTTACATTTTGGTCATGTAACATGTTTTTATTAAATATATTCATATGGGCTTGTGCATGTTTTTGGTGGGGCTTGTGCATATGTACTAATAATTTTTAGGTATATCAAAAATCTGTAATTTTTTTAAAGCCGTTTTGATTGTTTTTTAAACATTATATTTTTATCGCATTTACAAATAAATTGATGTTTGTGTCTAAGTTTTTTTTGCTCTTATTCTAATTATTTTTAGTTTTGTATTTTTATTAGTTTGTTTGTGTTTGTGTGTACATATCTTTTTGGCGATGTGCGCAATAAGCTTTGAATTTTTTTTGTAGGGGACAATTCTGATGATTTTGTTGACCCCCCTGTTGCAGCCGTGCCTGCTGATGGGGTAAATGCTAAGTCCCCTCCTGGCGCTATGCCTATTCCTGCTCAAGCTGAGTCGGAGGGGGTTGATCCCCAAAATGGGTTAGCGGGTAATCATGCCGTTAGCTTTCCACGTTTGAAGACTCGTGCATCTCCGAAGCACTTAGTATCACAATTCAAGCATTTTAGTGCGTGCCAGCGCAAGGCAGTTGGTCATTTGGGGTTAGGGGATTTATTGGATCTTCAGGTAGAGGATATCCCAAAGCACTTGGGTTTTTGGTTGCTGAAGAATTTTGACTCAGTGGAGATGTGCGTGCGTTTGGATAATGGGGCCACAATCTCTGTTACGGAACGAGACGTGCATTCCGCTTTGGGTTTGCCGCGTGGTGATGTGGTGATTACGAAAAGAAACAAGGATGACGTTAGTGATACTTTGAAAAAATGGCGGGCCAAATTTGATGTGACGCAGCATATGGTCACCTTGGCTATGATTGGGAAGAAGTTGCGTTCTTGCTCGGAGGGGGGTGTGTGGTTTAAACGCCACTTTGCCGTGCTAGCAATTAGTATATTTGGGTCCCCTATGTCTAATGGGTATGCTAACCAACTGGTTTTTCACCATTTTGAGGATGTCGATCAGATTAGGAATCTGAATTGGTGTAAGTTCGTCCTCGAGTGTTTGGTGGAGCGACACAATAACTGGATAAATGCATCTTCTCAGCCATTTGCGGGGCCTCTTCTGCTTTTGGTGGTATGTTATTACAGTGAGTACTTTGTGTGGTTTATATACTTGTTCATTTTTTTTTTTTTTTGTGTGTCGATTACTTACGTTGTCAAGTTGTAGCTCCTTTATGTGGATAGGGTGGTGCATGCAGCCAATACTGTTCCCCGTGCTTTCCCTTCTTTTAGAGGTTGGGAAACAAGTATTCTTAGGGCCCGGGAGTTGGCTGAGATGACAGATGGAGGCTTTGGGCGGGGGGCGGTGGTCGGGCCATATGTGCCGTCTGTTGACCGTACTAATCTGTCTACTTCTGTCCGGCCTCAGGTATTTATTTTTCTAATCCGTATTTGTTTTTTTATTCGAGTGGTGTCGTATGTTACTATTCTTGTTTGTAATTTATTATCGTTGCACATAATTTATGTTCTCCTTATGTTGTTTATTATTATGG